GAGGCCTTTCCAGCTGCAGGGCCGCCCTCCTGGGTCAGGGACTGGGCCGGGGGCAGCGGCTTCTCCTCGTGCCCTTCGGTGCGAGTCACCATCCAGGCCGGTCCCGCCTTCCTGCGTGTGTCGCGCTGGTCTGCACCCGAAGCCTTTCCCGCCGCCGGCACCCCGGCTCCTCCACCGCCTTCCGGGTCCCGGGCTTCGGTAGAGGTCTGCATGGTCCCGCGCTCTTGGCTCTGCGGACGACGCTTGGGCACCCCAAGAATAGACTGGGAAGGTTGAGAAGTCGAAGGGATCTGCACCGGCTTGGGGATCCAGGGGTGGTCCCCGCGGCGGGGGAGTGGCCACGCGCGGAAGTCCTTCTGGTACTGGGTCTCGCGCTCGAAGGGCGCGTCGGAAGGCTGGTACTCGCTGCGCGGCCGGCAGCTGGGCTCTGGCCGCTGCACTTTCCAGGCGCGGTAGTCCTGTCGCATCACCGAGTCCGCGGTGACTGAGCCGGAAGTGGAGCCCGAGGCCGCGCCCAGGCCCGGGCCGCTCCGGCCGGGGGCGGTTGCACTCTCGCGGTCGCCGCTGGGCCCGGGCGCCGGCCCTGTTGCCCGGGCAACTACATCCGACTCGCCCTGGGCCGGCTGCGTCTCTATGGCGACAGCGCGCGAGGGGGGCGCTATCGCTGACTGCAGCGGCGCTGGCGGCTGCGGCGGGGCCCCTGGATGCTCCGTGGCCTCCGAGTACTTGGTGAAAACCAGCGGCACCGCAATGTCCGCCTTGTCCAGCTGGTTCCAGAAGCGGGCGATGCAGCAGGCCCTTGTGATGCACGGCCACGCCATGATGCTAGGTGCAAAAGCGGTCCTCTCTCTCTTTTGGTGGTCCTAAATGAAACCCCCAGTCTCCCTTTGACCCCAATCCAGACCCGACAATGTGATTCCCACCGCTTCCTCCCCCTAGCAGCCGTTTTCCTTGTCCTCCTCCCTCAAAGAGCACCTGAGGACGAGATACAGCTGAAATAAAGTCCACAAAGTCCCTCGATTACCGTCTGCAAACGCCTTCGGCAGAGGACCTGCTGTGGCCCGTGACGGATGAGAGCGAGGTTCGGCGTCCCAGAGTCCAGGCCTAGGGCGTCTGGGCGCGCCCTTCCTGCGGCTACGGTGTCACGCAGACCCAGGCCGAGCGAGGAGATGCTTGGCAAGGAGGCTGTGGGATTAAGCCATGGCGCATAGAGAGGGCTGGGCAAATAGGTTCTTGTCTCCTTTCTGTCTGGTTCAAGTCGGCCGCCTAGTAGGGTTCGGCAGCGGTCACCTCCAACCCAGACAGAGCAGAGAGTGCAGCTGCCTCTGCCGTATCGGTACCCCTGGTGATGCTGCAACCGCCGCCGCCGCCGCCGCCGCCGCCGCCGTCTCTGCTGCAGAGAGGCGGCCCCACCCTTTTTTGCGGCTCAGCAAGGGAGGGGGGGTGATCAAGAAAAGATGCTGAGAGTGTGCGCGCTGCAGAAAAAAATCACCTGCTGTCGTCAGCGCTCGCTGCTGAGAGGTTGCCCTCTCCCTGTCCCCTCCTCTCTTCTCCCTGGCAGCTCCTCCCTCTTCTGTTCCCAGGCAACAGCAGAACTGGGTCCTTGGTCGGTTCAAGTCCCAAGCTCTGAGGACTTGCTGTCCTTGGGTTGCTGGCTTCACATCCTGGATCCCAGGCTCCTCTTTGGTAAAATAGGCCCAAACACTGGATGAGTGCGGATATTAAATTACAAAGTATAAGCACCCCCCTCCCAATGAAATGTCTGTCTCAGAATAGATGCTTTTGTTCATTTTTAGTTTTTTATTTTTAATTGTGTGCTTGTATCTGTGCGTGGGTATATGCACGTGGGGGTGGGTGCCTGTTGAGGCCAGAGGTGTCCAGTTCCCCTGGTGCTGGAGTTACAGTTATGAGTTCCCATCCAACCCCGTATGGGTGCTAGGAACTCGGGTCCTCTGGAACATCAAAGTTTTTAACCATTCAGCTCTCTCTCCAGCCCCTGAGCGGATACTTTTAAAAGGGAAGCCGCTGTTAATGGTCCGTCACCAGGCTGTACTTAGGCTCAGCGCTGCTGACTCCTGAGCTAAACCAGGCCTATCTATCTATATAGGACTTCCCCGGGTGTGTGAGGTTGCCAGATGCAGGCCTAGTGGTACCCTGGCTGCTCTTTCTCTCAACAATCCTTGGGAAGCTGCGCTCTCTACCCCCTCAGGGAAAAACTCGTTCTTCTTCAGCCCAGAGGCTACACTGGGGGAAAGGAAGAGAAAAGAATATTCTGGAAAGGAGCCTAAGATAGGAGGAAAGAGATGGGTGGGAGATAGTTCCCTGGAAAAGGGCAAAACTTTCCCTAAAGGTATTTTCTTTGGAGTCGAACAGATTTAGGGGTCTTACAGACCTGGTTTGGCTCTGATAGTCTCTTGGTGACTTGGGTTATCTCTAGATGTAGCCCCCTCGAAAGGAATGGAGGAGCTAACAGGTGCCTCAGCTTTCATGAGGAGAGTTAAGTGCTCACAGCAGAAGCCTGTAGTTCAATCAGATATTCAGAGATTCAGATCCTGGCTTCTGTACTTCTGGCTGCAAGGCCAGGCATGACAAATCATGGCAACCTCCTGACCCTTATTGTTGTCTCTGAACGAGGGTATCTATTCTGAACTCGCCAAGTTATTCTCCAAACTAAAGGGACACAATTCATGGGAGATATTTTGCTGTAGCACCTGGCATTTGATAGTGGCTCTTTCGGCTGCTATTGTTAATATTCAAAAGGCCTGTCCAGAAGATCCACAGGCAGAATCTCAAAGATAAACCACTCAGAAGCCTGCTCCAGGAGACCCCTTGCTTCCTCGTTAAAAAAAAAAAAATCATTTTCTAAAAATTCCTGTTGTTTCTTTACTTTTTTTTTTTTTTTTTTTTTTTTGGTTTTTCGAGACAGGGTTTCTCTGTGTAGCTTTGCGCCTTTCCTGGAACTCACTTGGTAGCCCAGGCTGGCCTCGAACTCACAGAGATCCGCCTGGCTCTGCCTCCCGAGTGCTGGGATTAAAGGCGTGCGCCACCACCGCCCGGCATTGTTTCTTTACTTTTAATTAAATTAATCAGTGTATGTATGTGATATGTATGTACATGTCCAGGGGAAGACTTTGGGTATTCTGCTCTATCAATCTCTGCCTTTTTCTCTGAGACAAGGTTTCTCACTGAACTGGAGCTAGGCTGACTGGCCAGCAAATCCTGCAATTCTCCTGGCTCTGCCCCTCACAGTGCCGGGGTCCCAGGTGGTCATCTGGCCACACTCTGATTTCTTACTTCACTGCACGGGATTTGAACTCATGTTCTCATGCTTGCACAGCAAGGGAAATGCACTAGGAGGCCAGTTTGCACTGGGATGAAAGAGCATATGATGGGAAGGTGGACATGCCCCCTAGTCAGTGCCCTGACCTGTCCCACCGGATTAACCCTTAAGAAGGAGACAAGGTCATGTTGTCAAGGTTCCATCCTTTATGACACACATAAGGTCAAACAGTAAGCAGTGTTTCAGATTAGCTCTGACAGTAATAAGCCCTAAGGATCCTTCCATAGCTTGGTGTCTCATTTCTGTTTTTCTGGGCTGAGTAACATTTTTATATGGACACACCATAGTTTATTTATCCATTCACCTACTGAATGGCATGCTGGTTGCTTCAGTGTTTGAGGAATTAGAAATAAAGCTGCTAACACAGTGTATATGTTTTTCTACTGACATAAGCTTTGAAGGCCTCTGGGTAACTATCAAGGAGCAGGGTTGTGAGCACATGGTCGAAGGATGGTTAGTTTTCTAACAAAGCAAACTGTCTTCCCCCGTGGCTGTACCAGTTTGGAGTTCTCAGTATTAACAAATGAGAGCTCCCGTCTCTCCACTCCTTGCTGGTGTTTGGTGCTCTCTGTATTTTGGTTTCTCGTTGCTTTGATTTGCAAGTCTCTGCAACATACTATACTGAACATTCTCTTCTTATGCCGGTTTGCCCAGGTCCAGCTACTTTGGTGAGGGATCTGTTCAGGAGGTTGTCCTCAACCTCCACTGCATGCTGTGGCATACCCACCCACACACATACACACTCAAAATAAATAAATAAATAAATAAATAAATAAATAAATAAATAAATAAATGCAAAAGTCTAATATTTAGTAGGGTTTATCCTAGGACTGAGCACTGGTTTAAGAGCAGAAATGTGTAGATATAATTCTACCCACACAGATTAAAGTGTAAGAGCATACATCATCTCAAAAGCGTGATCATATCTGATACCTGATAATCAGTCCTTAAAATATCCTGCAAAGTAGACCTTCCCTAGTATTATCAAAGGTGCCTACCCTGCTTCATGCTTTGTTGTGAAATGCTGGGCTCTTTCCTTCTACCACTACCCATCAGGGACCATGGGGCACAGTCACAAGGCTTCAGCGATGAAGCTATGTAGGTCTTGGAGGACTCACAGGACTTCTGCTGAGGCTGCCGTGAGATCAGAACTAGGAATGAAAGAAAGCAGGATAAGGACATCTTTGAATTCTGAAATCAGAATAAAAGAACGATAATATTTTAGGATCATGAAACATCCTAGAATCTCAAAGTAGTAAAATGACAGAGTTCCAGAATCACAGACTAAATGAATATTAGAATACTAGGTCAAATATTAGAAGCTAGACATCACAGAATCATACACATGTGTACATAAACACACACACACACACACACACACCCGTCACTGGTTGCTGTAGGCTATCATAGGCTGAACGTATGTGTCCACCAAACACATATGTTGCTAAAACCCTAACACTAAGGGGCTAGCATTGGGGGAAATATAGAGAAGGACCGACTCCCCTCCCCCCATCAGATAAATGCCCTTATAAGAAGAGGAAGAGGCCAGAGTTCTGTGTTTGCAGCATCTGTAAAGCAGGAAATGGCCCTCAGCAGACACCACTTCTATCAGTGCTTGGGTCTTGTCCTTCCCAGGCCCTGGAACTGTGGGAAATGAGCATGTGTTATTTCGGCTCTGGGTCTATGGTGTTCTGATACAAAACCCAAACAGGATAAGATACACAGTAAACACATCTTGTCTTTACTGAACTAAAAGAGAAAGTTTCTTTAGACCGCATGAGAAGATTTTGAAGACATATTTTTTTAAAAGTACAATGTCCTCAGATTTCTAAGTAGTCTGTCATTCATTATCAGGTCCAAATATTACACTAAGCAAGATCACCTGACACTCTGCAACTCATTTGTTACTCATGGAATATTCATCTGTTAATTTTAGCAACTATTGATGTCTCTTGCCTAGCACACCTATTTCAATAATGTTTGTGAAATGGTGATTTTTTTTTTCTGCCTCCATTATTCCTCTACTAGCTTGAGTCTGCTTATAGCACTATGGATTCATGAATATTTTTCTTGTGGGTTTAACACATCATTTCACTTTCTATTTTGAGGATTATATTGTCCAGATTTTGCACGTGGGAGTCCTTGGTGATTGCTCTGAGACACCTTTGAAAAAAATGGCCCAGATACATTTTAAATTCCATCCTAAACATACTCCTTCCCTGCCTTCCTCCAATATTGCCATCATGTGGAAGAAAGCATAAATGCACGTTTTATGTGTGTTTCTTAAATATACACGAGTCAACAAATGTGTATTCAACATTTTTTTTTCTGAATGATATCGTCCTTTTCTCCTTCTCCTTCTCCTTCCTGAGATGGGGTCTCTCTGTGTAGCCCTGGCTGTCTTGGAACTCACTCTGTAGACCAGGCTGTCTTCAAACTCAGAGATCCGCCTGTGTCTGCCTCCGAAGTGTTGGGATAAAAGGCGTGCGCCACCGCTGCCTGGCTTATACCATCCCTTAAGGAGCTTTCTCAAGGCTGAGAAGATGGCTCTGTGGGTAAAGTGCTTGCTGGACCGGGTTGAAGGCCTGAACTCAGGTCCCCAGAACACACATGAAAGTTGGGTACGGCTGTATGTGTCTGTTACCCTAACACTGGGGGTAGAGACAGGTGAACTAAAAACAATTAAGAGTTATTTACTTTACCTTATGAATATGAATGCTTTACCTACATGAATGTTCCCCTGGAACTGGAGTTACAGATGGTTGTGAACCACCATATAGGTACTTGGAACTGAACCTGGGTTCTCTGCAAGAGCAGCAAATGCTACTAGACAATGAACCTTCTCTTCAGCTCTAACAAGTGGCTCTTTAGGAACTGTCCTTTCATTGACATTCCCATTAGTTTTGTTATTTATTTATTTATTTATTTATTTATTTATTTATTTATTTATTTATTTATTTATTTATTTATTTATTGAGACAGGGTCCCTCTATGTAGTCCTGGCTGTCCTGGAACTCACTATGTAGACCAAGCTGGCCTCGAACTCACAGAGATCCTCCTGTCTCTTCCTCCCAAGTGCTGAGATTAAAGGCATAAAAGAAGATACATATGTGTGTATCTTTGCACATTAATGCTGGTGCCT